CCACCCACCCAGTCACCCAGTCACCCAGCCACCCAGCCACCCAGCCACCCAGTCACCCAGCCACCCAGCCACCCAGTCACCCAGCCACCCAGCCACCCAGCCACCCAGTCACCCAGCCACCCAGTCACCCAGCCACCCAGTCACCCAGCCACCCAGTCACCCAGCTACCCAGCCACCCAGCTACCCAGCCACCCAGCCACCCAGCTACCCAGCCACCCAGCCACCCAGCCATCCAATCATCCAGCCACCCAGCTACCCAGTCACCCAGCCACCCAGCCACCCAGCCATCCAATCATCCAGCCACCCAGCCACCCAGCCACCCAGTCACCCAGCCACCCAGTCACCCAGCCACCCAGTCATCCAGCCACCCAGCCACCCAGCCATCCAATCATCCAGCCACCCAGCCACCCAGCCACCCAGTCACCCAGCCACCCAGTCACCCAGTCATCCAGCCACCTAGCCAGCCATGGAGTAAGAGTGAAAGTAAAATATACAGAAGAAAAGGAAAAAACCCAGAGGCAAAAGGCAGTTGGGATAATTTAAGAAAAGCTAGCAAGAAACAAGCCTGCCTTAAGTATTTCATTATAGTAACAAAACTGAGAAGTTTGCCCCATTTCTCAGAGAACATCAGGGAGCCATGGTCTCAAAGGATGCTAACTAGAAGGCGTTTGACCTATGTCTGGAGCGCAGATTTGCTTATAGAGACCCTTGAGCCACTCCTGCCCAAGAGCATGGGCACATCTCCCCCTCTACACAGTTCTCAGGGTTCGGGGAGTTCAATGCTGACAACTTAACAGAGTCTAGAGTCGTTTGGAGAAAAATTTCTAGACATTTCTGTCCCCACCTCTCCCAGTCTGTCTTTCTTCCTGACTCTTAAAGCAGCATTATGTCCTCCTTGTGTCGTTGATTTGGGGGCACTACCTGTGACCCCTGGGAGGTGGGTCCTTTACTTCAAGCCTTCCTAACACGAATAGCAATGCCAAGTATTTCTTAGGGTGCTGGGCGAGTTTTGTTCGTGGCATTTTGTTATCTAAGGAAGGTTCTAGCTCTCCTTCAACCACTAAAGGAAGAATTACAGGAATGAATCATATGGGGATTGAGAGTGTCTCAGCGGCTAAGAGCACTGGCTACCCATCAGAGCGTGTGTGTGATTCCCAGCACACATGCCGGGCAGTTCACAACCGCCTGTAACTTCCAGCTGCCAGCGATCACACACACACACCCATACACACACACACACACACACACACACGACAATCTCCCCTGCCTAGACAAAAGCCCCTTGGCTCTGCCATGCACTATTTTATTATCTTCTAACAGCACTTTACCTGTGCTGACATGGAGCCCTGACAACTCTAAGTCTTGAGAGTTTCTCCAAAGGGTTTGGGGATAAGGACCATAGCTGTGCCTGCATGGAACAGAGCAAGAGAACGTTCTAGAATGCCTTACACGGGTCATCCATTGCCTGTCACGTGTCAATACCACCCTGGCACTTTCAGAGCCTGTACTTGTCACTGCATGCAACATCTTGCCTGTGCCCTGTCTGCTTTCAGCCTGAAGCAGACACAGGACGCCTGTGCTCCGTGGGCTTAAATGAGTGGGGATGCTCTAGAGCATCTGGCAGAGGCCATGGAGGAACCTCCATGGCCACACAAAGGGAGTGGCTCACCTAGATGCTCCCCTACCACCACGAAAAGCCTTTCATATGCCCACCAACAGCTGGAGCTCCCTGACCCAGCTGCAGAGACCTACAAGGGAAGCTTGAACATTTCTTCCAGGCAAGTAGAGATGTTTCCATATTGCTCACCTGAAGCACAGGTTCTTGCCCTTTGCTGAAAATCCCCCTGGAACTTGCGTGACTAGGAAATGTGCCCCGCTCCACCTCCAGACAGAAACCCAGGCCTTGCTTGGCAGGGAGCCTTGCAGAGTGGGATGTGGGCTTTGTGTGCTCATTGAGCATCTATGGCTATGCAAACGGGGAAGAGTGGTGCCCACAAACCATGGCCCAGTCTCACTCGCCTTCTTTCCCTCAAGATGGGCCTTGGGAGGCACCTTTTCTAGAACTTCTGGCCCTGTTTGTTAATCATCTGGCCGGGGTCCTTTTACTCTGCCCGTATACCTCAATGTCCTATTGTGGCAGCTTTTGGTTTCCCTTCTTGTTTTTGACCTCAGTGAGAGACCGCAAAAGTCAGATAAGAGCAGTAGCAGGTGGCGCCCCCTAGTGTCACAGCTCTTGGGTGGCTTTAGGTAGTCAGACCCTTCTATCCTAGCATTATAGATTTGTTCAGCCTGTAAAGTGAGTATACCTAAGTTCTCAGCAATGGGCTGCCCGAGGCCCTTGGCTCTGGAGTCTTGACAGCTCTTGGGAGCGCTTCAAGTGCCCACGGCCTGTGGTAATTCCTCTCTGACTTTTTACAGCGTTCTGTCCTCCAGCTTCTGCTCTCCAGCCTTTTTGCCTCCACTTCTCTTATTTCTGACCAGCCCGATCCCTCAAATAGTTGGGGACCTCCTGTTACTATGGCCACTGTCACAGCTGTTGAGTAAGGGGGCAGCAGCGGCTGCTGGCTCTCCCTCATCCACGCGGCTGCTGTGCAGGTGTCTATGCGGCCAGAGGCTCTGATGTTCTGCAGCTGGGCCTGCCCACTGCTCAGCCGCCCTCACTGCCACTGACGCTCCATTGTCTCTCCTGCTTCTTTTGTGTGTGTGTGTGTGTGTGTGTGTGTGTGTGTGTGTGTGTGTGACCAGCTCAGCCCACACCAAATATAGTCAAGGCCAGTCAAACCGAACATACCTGGAATCACTTGGGGAAATGGAGGCAAGATGATCAAGAACTCATGGTCATCTTTGGCTACACAAAACCTTAGCTCAGGGCTGGAGAGATGGCTCAGAGGTTAAGAGCATTGCCTGTTCTTCCAAAGGTCCTAAGTTCAATTCCCAGCAACCACATGGTGGCTCACAACCATCTGTAATGAGGTCTGGTCCCTCTTCTGGCCTGCAGGTATACATACACACAGACAGAATATTGTATACATAATAAATAAATAAATATTTTAAAAAAAAAACCTTAGCTCAAACAAGCTTACAAACCACAACAAAAATCACAGTCAAGGAAAGGTTTTCATTGGGCCCAGTGCTGCAATACCAGGGTAGCTAGCAAAGGAGGTTGTGTGTCTAGCTGATGTGGGAGTCTTTTGTTTTGTGTTGATTTTATTGGTTAATAAAGAAACTGCCTTGGCCCTTTAATAGGACAGAAAATTAGGTAGGCGGAGTAGACAGAACAGAATGCTGGGAGAAAGAAGCCGAGTCAGGCAGTCCCCATGATTCTCCCACCCGACATAGACGCAGGTTAAGATCTTTTCTGGTAAGCCACACCTCGTGGGGCTACACAGATTATTAAAAATGGGTTAATCGAGATGTGAGAATTAGCCAATAAGAGATTGGAACTAATGGGCCAGGTAATGTTTAAAAGAATATAGTTTCCGTGTAATTATTTCTGGGCATAAGCTAGCCAGGCGGCCGGGAGCTGGGGCGGCAGGAACACAGCCTGCAGCTCCTTTTACAGAGTCTAGCTAGGTTGTGTGCTGTCTAGTTCATCAAACCAGATATAAACCAGGCATTTCCTTCTGGTCTAAGCAAACTTGTTATGCAAATAAAGTTCGTGTTTGCACCAATCACAGCGTTGCTTCTTCTCTACCTCTCACGAGCAGTCCTGCGAGGCCAGCAGGGCATGTGGGCCATCTCTGACCTGGGTAGAAGTGATCATGCAGTCACCTGGAGTTCCCCAAGGCTTGTGACAGGAAAAAGCCCAGCACGAATAGTTTGGGACAGTCCTGGGTCAGGCTGAAGCTCGGGAGCTCAAGCAAGAAGGGCTCAATGGTATGGAATATATAAGGTTATTGGACTGACAGCTCTTTTGTTCAGAACAGCTTGGGGGGACCAAGGAAAAGTCAACAGCACTGGTGTCACGTTGCCCCATCCCTATTTACGGGAAAATGATCCACAGAAAGGGAGATTAGAAGTCAAAGAACTTAGCATTGGCGTTAACTGTGTGTGGTTTCAATGATGGTTTCTAATGCTTGACACCTGCCAGGTACCCAGGGACAGGTGGGCTCCCTTTATCTCAGAACCACATCAGCCAAAGGCATATAGATGGCAGAACCACATAAGTAGGGAAGTGGCTGTCGGTGGGTGTCAGCCCTTTGGATGGCCTGAAGGGGGCTGAGCTCTTCCGGCCCTGGCTGCCAAGCTTAGCCTTATCTCTTCAAAGGAATAAAGCCTCCCCTCCGCTGCCACCAACGCACCTGTGTCCGGAGGCAGTGGGCTCCAGAGTCCTGAGACACAGCTGTAGGAGCTGTGCAGACATTTCCAGGACACCACCACCTCCCACGGCCAGTCTCCAGCCAGGACAGAATCGCGTCTGACCCTTGATCCGTGTGCTCCAACCACTGTACCCTCAAAGTCCAGGACATTGTCCTCTCTCAGAACCCCTCCACAATCACTCGGGGGCTGTCTTCACCAGCACTCCCTCACTCAGGTTCTTTCTTGCAGTTTTAGAACCACAGGCTGCATTCAATGGCATCCTATGGGGGCCAGGTGGCGGGCTCTGCTGTAGACTGTACTGCAAGACGTGCAGATGGCTTGGGAGGAGCCAAACTCACTCAAATGTAAACAATGAGATCAGACAGGGTATGGAGACAGGACTCAAACACCTAGGTTCTGAGCTCCTTCCCCCAGTTTAGAGAGATAGAGCAAGGGCTCAGAGTCTCCCGTGGTCTCAGCAGGCTGGCCCGGGTCTAGGGACCTGATGGCCAAACCCTGCCCGTCCTAGCTTCCCCTGTCGCTTTCTGAACCAACTGCACATCACCTCAAGTGGGTTCTGCATCTAGCTCTTGGATATGAACAGTTAACTGGGGAGCGGGAAGGGGGAAGACTGTCTTTGGCGGCCTTCCAACAGGACACAGGATGTGTGTGGACAGGCTGTCCACAGACGCTGTCAACCACAGAACAGAACGGGACATAAGGGAGTGAGGTGCAGGCCAAGGTGTCCACCTGAGAGCATGGTCCTACTGCTGCTGCTGGGCCTGGTGCTCAGCCTTGCCAATGCGCAATTCAGCCAGGATTTCATGGTGCAGAGGAACTACAACATGGCCAGGGTAGGCCAAGCCCTATGGGGCTAGGTTAGGCTTCATGAAGAGTACCTGCCTTCCCTTGACTGGGTGGGATGCTCGATCTTGAAACAGGGTGTCTGTGCCCTGGAAGCCCTTCCCAGCCCAGTCATGATGGCAGCCAGAGGGTACAGAAGGAACCCTGAGAGGAATGAGGGCAGAGGCGGGGCTGGGAAGGCAAAAAGAGGTCTCAGCTTGGAGCTAGTGTTCGGGGACTCACCCAGAAGTGTGGTGGCCATGGGGGTCAAGCAGCCCCAGGGCTGTGATAGGCCTCCCGTCACTCAATCTTTCCTTCCAGATTTCCGGGACCTGGAACTCTTTTTTCATGGCCTCAGATAACATGACGCGGATTAGAGAAAACGGAGACCTGAGGCTCTTCATCCGGAAGATCAGTATCTTAAAGAACGGCAGCCTGCAGTTCGACTTCCATTTTATGTGCGTGTTGTCCACCGCCCCTCCCCGCAAGCTGAAACCAGGGGAGACTGTGTTCCCATGCTGCACGGGAACTTCATACACTCACACACCTGCATGCCTGGGCCAGTGTGTGAACGGTCGCCAGCCCTTCCCTGGGGATCATCATGATGGGGTCGGGGTGCCCTGGCCTATTTCTATGTTCTGTGCCCCTCCCGGTGCTGAAAGGTCTGAAAGGCCCCTTCTGAGCTGTGGTGGTTATGGAAGCCAAAGGTACTAGGCTTGGAGGCTCAGTGACTTCCTGCCGTGATGCAGTCAGGGGGAAGGGACCTGTGCTTGCTCTGAGCCTCTCCCCTCTCTGTCCCCCAGGGTACAAGGAGAATGTGTGGCTGTGACCATGGTCTGTGAAAAGACAGAGACCAATGGGGAATTCACCGTTAATTGTGAGTGGAATCCCTGCTCCTCCTTCTCTGGCAGCCAGGAAGCTTTTCTGCTGAGGCCTTGCCCACTCTGCCCAAAACACTCACCCCAAACCCTAAAGCAAGAGCACTCCAGCCTAGGGGCAACTGAAGGGCCCCCAGCCTGGCCCTCTCTCTGGATATCACCAGCCTGGAACTCCCAGAGAGGCAAAGGCTATGCTGAGGCCTGTGGAGACAGCACACAAAGGCCCATCCTCAGACAGACAGATGGGGGCCATGATACCCAGCTACCCATACTCCCATACCACAGCCTCCTCCTGCGCCAGTACTGGGCATCCAAACTCCTGCTCCTTCCAATGTCTGCTTAGCAGAAGACACATACACATGACACTCACTCCAGAAGTGGGGGTGGGGTGCCCCAGTGCCAGGGAAAAAGGGGGTGAGGACTTCTATCTCTGCAGACGAGGGGGAAAACAGGGTGCGGCTCTCAGAGACTGACTACAGAATGTACGTCATCTTCTACATGGAGAACATCAAGAATGGGACCAAGACCCATGTGCTGGCGCTCTATGGTAACCCAACCCCCTTCTGTTCGGGAATCCCAGCCACTGGTAGGGGGTCTCCCTTGGGCCCTAGACACATGATGGAATGGTGCCTTGAGACCCCTCCCCAACAAAGTCCCAAATTTGTCCCCAGGACGCATCCCAAAGTTTGAGAAGTCTTACCTGAAAAGATTTGAAAACATCTGCAAAAAATATGGGCTGGATTCACAAAATATCATCGACTTGATAGACCAAGGTAGGGTCCCCGCTTTGGCCCAGAAAGGGTCCAGAGAAGGCAGAATTGCAGCTTGGTGTGCCTGGCACAGACGACCTGAGGATTGGGATGGGGAGTCAAGGGGAGGCTCAGCAAGCCATCTGACATCCCCTTGTCTCCCCAGATAACTGCTACGACGTCCCAAAGAGGAGTTAGTCAGCTTCCGGTATGTGAGTTTTGATCTGAGTGTAAGACACGGCAGGCCAAGGTGTTGGTAGCCGGACAGGGCAGCACCGAGTCACTGTCAGAAGCTGGGGGAGGTTCGGCCCAGAGTGGCCCTGAGCAGCGCGTCTCAGAGCTCACACTCTGCTTGCTGCTGGGTTGTCCTACAGAAGCCAAGCAGCACACAGTTCTGTGTAGAAGATTGTGTATGATAGATTCCCAGAATCAGGGTTGTAGTGGGCCTTATGTGATTGTGTCTGAGTAGAGCGGGAAACCTGGCCCTGGGAAACGACTGCGGATGCTGTGCTTAGGAAAGTGTAGCACTTGGTATTTACTGTCCTGCAGCTTTACAGCCCAAAGACCTGAGGTCCAGGTATTGCGGAGCCAGCACTGGGCATCATCATCATTTTCCTGATGCTCGTCTGCGGTCGCATCTCCCTACTCTCTGCCTCTGTCTTCACGTAGCCTTCTGTTCTGCATCTCCTCCTCCATTGGTGTAAGACACCCAGGCATCCCAACTGACCTCACTTGATTTCTGAAGACTCTTGGCAAATAAAGTCTCTCCTTTGGTCTCAACATGAAGACAGACATGTGTTTGGGGATGTCGCATTTGACACTTTGAGGTCCTTTCTTGGTAATGGGCCTCTGTGACAGCAAAGACCACCCTCAGAACACCCCAAAGACTGGCACCAGAATCACCTCTTAAAGGACCCTGCGCACAGGCCCACGGGGTTCCGATGGGTCGAACCCCTGTCTGCCCTGCTCTGGTCTAGCCTCCCTGGGAGATTAGTGATAGCAGCCCCGCTGGGAGAAGGATGTGTTCCGTGTGTTGGTGAACACACAACAGATAAAAGTCACGTTACGACGGTCTGCACTGGGCGTGTGGCAGGGAGCTGTGAAAGCTGCACCCACACAGGTGGCCTGCAGAGATGCTCACGCAGCTCCATCCATGACCACAGGCTGCAACAGCTGACAGACTGCGGCAAGCCAGGGTCCTGGGTCATATATAAAAAAGAACAATGGCCAAACTGTAGGAAAGGGGACAGATACGAGGACACAGAGTCGGGAAAGAGAAGAAAACGGGGCTCTAAATAGGCGGCAAGATGATCCCAGCTGTGCTGAGCAGTCCTGTCACTGAAGGACAGGGGTGGCGGGTACACAGCCCTACACAAACTGATAAAATGCCCGGCACCACACTCACACACGCGCACATACTCTCGTATGCATTCACACTCACACACACGGGCATACACAAACACGCACATGTTCGTGTGCTCACACATATGCTTGTTCACTCATATGCACATGTGCACAGTGCATGCATATATATAGGATCATGCACGTACACACATATACACGCTCATGTGCTCACATAATACACTCAGATACACACCCTTCCACATGCACATATGCAGACATACTCATGCAGACACATGCCCACTCACACATGCACCCATAGCCACACAAACACACATATTCACATAGACAGAATGCTCATATATACTTAACACGCTTGCTCACTCAAATGTGCACATGCACACACACGCTCACACCAGCAAACATACTCACATATGTGCCCATGCACGTACATGCACACACATTCACACATTCTTACTCATTGCACACACTCCCTCTCAGTCACAGGAAACAGGAAAAACCTTTCAGGGCAGGACTGACCAACCTGTGTCTTGTGGGACTTGATCTTATTGTTGACAACGGTTACCATGGGGGCATCTGGGCAATACTGGGGACCACCCTGAATTTCTTCTTATGACGTCATGAGAATCCCAACCCTCTCCAAATAAAACGTTAAGATGAAGATATATTTGCCCTGGGGACTCAACTGACATCCCCTCATCTGTGGTGTCCCTTGGCCTGGCTTCCCACCAGCTGTCCCAGACCCTATCATCAACCTCATTTTTGTCTCTTTGCTGGCAACCCAGGTTCCTCCCAGGTACCCAAGTCCCCTGGGTCAAAGACCACACTCCCTGGCACATTCCGGGAAATGTTCCCCTCCTGTTGAACAGCAGAGGTGAATGACCCTAGAGGAGCAGCTCCCGGCCTCTCACCAACCCTGTCTGAGTGAGGAGTGACTGCCCTGGAAGACATGGGCAGACCTGGCCAGTGTTTGCTCTTCCAGTGTGCTGTGGTGGGCATAGGATTGCCCGGTAGCCACACTGCTGAGTCCTCAACCTTAGCGATTGCTGGGATAGGAGCCCAGCAGGCTACTTCAGGTTATAGCTTGGGAAGCAGTCTGTCCCGGAGCAGTCCAGCTGAGGGGTGGGAGTGGGGGCAGGCAGAGGTTAGTAGCCTTCTGAAGGGCTTGCCAGCAGGCAGAATGACTCTGTTGGGAGGATGGAAGGTTCCTGGCACTCCCAGGCCGCCCAGCTTCTGGATCCCTTGGTACAGCAGCGTGCTGAACCACAGCAGAGACAGACATGCAGGGACCACCCACATGATCAGGGCCTGCTGGGGAGGAGAGACGGCATTGGCACGTTGGTGTTTTTTTGTACCTGCTGCAAAATCAGCAGAAGGAAGAGTTTGTTTGGGCTCACAAGGGCATGGTTCCTTGTGGTGGGGACGGAGGGACAGTGGGGACATGAGGCCACTGTCACATTGCACCCGCACTCAGGAAGCAGAGAGACGTAAACTATGATGTTCATCGTCCTTGCCTTTTTAACTGGGTCTCGGACCCAGCCCACGGAACGGTGCCGTGGGTACATAGGGTGAGTCTTCCATCTCAAGGAACTCGGTCCAGAAACTCCCCCACAAGCATGCTCAGGGATTCTTTCTCAGAAGGGTATAGACCCTGTCAAATTGACAATATTGACCATTACAATTGGGGATCAGAATAATGGCTATCCTAAAGAACAGTAGGAAGTAGCTGAGTAGCACATACTTTATGGAAGAGACAGACGATCAAAATCCTTCCTAAAATCCCTTCATCGCCACTAAACCAAAGGGATATCAGGCATCTCCAAATCCTTTCAAGTAGACCATCTTTTGATAACTGCTTCAGTATTTATCAAAACAAAACTTTGACACCTTTTTTTTAAAACTGTGCGACCCTCCATATTAAACCTAGAATCTTTACTCAGAGGGTCCATATCAACAAACTCAGCCTGATCCAGTTTATGTTCTTTCCTCTATGACACAGGCTGCAAGCTGTCTATGGTGACTCCATTTTGACATCTTGGATGAACTTTGTCTTGCTGAGTAAAGTGCTGGTCACTGTAAGGGAGACTAAGAAAAACAATTCCGGGAAGAAAAACATCTCAAGGACGTGGGCTCTTTGCAACCGTCATCCTGACCTAATTATTTTTGCTAATCTCGTATTTTTACTTTTGTACTCTTTGCTTAGCTTGCAGCTGTGGGAAGGGAACCTTGGGGACTTTCCAGCTAGTATATGACTTTTCTTGTTTAAATATGGATCCTGTTTTCAGGTCCTGAGTACCAAGATGCAGGCACCAGCTAGCTGGAATAAAGACTTTCTATTGGCTCATTTCTGCATGGTCTTCCCTTGGAGCCCCACAACATCACCAGTGTCCCACACTCTTAAAATCCTTCTCACACATATTCCCCCAGACTTCTACTTGACAGAATTAGCAAACACATTGAGCTCCTTAGGGATGTAGCGCACATCCTCATGGACCGCATTTCCTCCAGGAGTCTGCTTTGCCTCAAATCTGGTTATAAGTCTCCAGACAGACAAGGAAGGATTAATTCCCTCAGTCAAAGGCAGAAAAAGGCGAGGGTGGGGGTGAGAAACTACTTCCTCAGGTGAGATAAACCCTTGAGAATCCACAAAGTTTTCAGCTTTAGGAGGGCCCTCCCACACATCTCCTTCCCAAGTTACAGGATCTCATTCTTTACCAACTGATGCCCTTACTTTAACCACTGACACCCTCTGAGCCTGGGAATTAAATTTTCACTGTAATTCAGTCAACCTTATAATAAGGACACCAGTTTGATTTCCCACAACTTGAGCTCTATGGCTGCAGGAGAGAAGATTCTCTTCCAGGACACACTAGACTGTATATGTGCATCTAGAGCTGCTCAGTTTTAGCAATGACTTCATCGTTGTCCTCCACCATCTTCCGAGAGGCTAACGTTGGTTCATTTGATCATGGAGCTCATTCTTTTTGTTGTCAACTTATCCAGAGATGCTCGGAGCAACCAGCCAGCAGCATCATTTTCCTTATTTCCCACAAACTGTCAGAAGTTTTATACACAGAGTCATCAGATCCATTGCCCCTTCGAGCTCCAGGAATCCTGTTGAGGAGGGAAGGAGGATTGTCCGAGTAAGCGGCGGGGGGGGGGGGGGGGTTGATGGTCAAGGTCATCACAAGGGAACCCACAGAAACAACTAACAACTCACCTGGGCTCATAGGATCTCACAGACTCTGGACCAAGAGCTGCATGGGACCAACCTAGGCCCTCTGCATACATACGTGTGACAGTTATGTAGCTTGGACTATTTGTAGAACTAGCAGAGGATCAGGGGCTGTCCCCAATGCTTGGGCTGGCTTTTGGGGAACCTATTCCTCATACTGGGCTGCCTTGCTCAGCCTCAATACAAGGGGAGGAGCTTAGTCCTACCTCAACTTGATACCCATGGGAGGCCTGTCCCTTTCTGAACAGAAACAGAGGAGGTGAGGGACCAGAAGGAGAGGAGGGAGGGGAAACTGTAAAGTAAATGAAAACATTCAATTAATAAAAAGAAAACTATCCATTGCCCTCACAGTTGGTAAGTCAGGAAAAGCAAATGCATTTATCTCCTTAGGTTTGTGAAATAGTCCACACCATAGGCTTTCAATACTCTCCCAGCTTCTAGGAGAGGCTTCCATAACTGCAGGTGTCAAATTGGAAGCCTATTCCAGACACTTTAAAAATACATTCTTATACTTCTCTTGCTATAGAACCACTCCTAGTATCAAAATCTGCGTTAGTTGGGGTTCTCTAGAGGAATGCATATATGGAATTTACTAGCATGGCTTACAGGCTGTGGTCCAGCTAGTTCAGTAATGGCCGTCTACCAACGGAGGGTCCAAGTATCCAGTAGTCACTCAGTTCACAAGGCTGGATATCTCAGCTGGTCTTCACTATATGCTGAAACCCCAAAGGAGTAGGCTCCAGTTTTTGAAAGAATGGACTTGCTAGTGAGAGCAAGAGCAGGCAAAGAGAGCAGAAACTTCCTTCTTCCATGTCCTTTATATAGGCTGCCTGCAGACGGTGGTGCCCAGATTAATGGTAGATCTTCCCACTTCAAAAGATCTGATCTAAAAGTGGGTCTTGCCACCAGGTGATGGTGGTTCATGCCTTTAATCCCAGCATGCAGGAGGCAAAGACAGGCAAGTCTCTGTGAATTTGAGGCCAGCCTGGTCTACATAGCGAGTTCCGGGACAGCCAGGTCTACGCAGAGAAACAGAAAGAGTGAAAAAAGTGGGTCTTCTACTTCTAACGATTTAATTAGGAAAAAAAAATCCCTCATAGGTTTTTAGTTAATTCCAGATGTAGTCAGGTGGACAATCAAGAAAAACCATTACAGGCAGCCCTGGGTTAG